CGGCGGCGGGGGGAGCTCCGCAGCGCCCCCAGCGACGCGGTGCTGCTCTGCCCTCCGTGCGCTCCACCCAAACCCCCTTCTTTTACGTCTTCGGTGATAAAACATTCAAATTTTGAGAAATTCCAAATAAACATATACTCAAGTTAAATAAAACTTCTCAAGCAAGTCAAATTTTGAAATAGGTCAGATGAAGCATTTAAAAAAATTAAGGGGTCATTTAAGAGTTATTAAACATTGACTTACTAAACATCAACTTTCCCAAAACAAACACAACGTGTGCATGTGCGTGTGTGTGTTTTGCGTTGTGTGTATACTTAAATTGAGGTCCAAATATACCTATACCGTCTCTCTTTGGTAGTAAAATAAAGTTATCACTCTATAATTCTCATGAACTAATCAGATAAAAGATTATTTTCTGGAACTATTTTCTGTAAAATTCAAATTTTATGATTTTATCATTAAAATTCTAATTTAATATTAAATTCATTAAAATTTTAATTTGATTAATTGATGATATTTCTATTTCAGTTCACTAAACTGAACCACCAGTGATATCTCAGATGTGTAGGTATTATGCAATTATGATTACCCAAAAGTAATAACATTTTCAAACAAATGTCTAGAAAATTAAAATTTTGGAGATATAGTCCTTAAAACATCATTAATAAAAGTTAACCAAGAAATTCTGGCCCAGCCAGCATGGCTCAGTGGTTTAGCATCGACCTATGAAACAGGAGGTCACGGTTCAATTCCGGGGCAGGGCACATGCCCGGGTTGTGGGCTTGGTCCACCCCATCCTCCGTTAGTGGGCGTGCAGGAGGCAGCCGATCAATGACTCTCATCATTGATGTTTATATCTCTCCCTCTCCCTTCCTCTCTCTGAAATCAATAAAAATATATATTTTTAAAAAGACAGCTCTTTAAAAAAAAGATTCTGAAAGCTTTAAAAAATTATAGATGTTCCATTTTTAAATTCTTATCATGAAATCTAGAATCAGTGTTCTCCTATTTCAATTTTATTTTTCATCGATAAATCTATTAATATAATAATGAGTTAACATTTCTAAAGCACTTATTATATGCCAGACCCTACTTTAACTGTTTTCTGTAGTAACTCTTTTAATAATTAAGAAGTGGGCACAATTATTTTCACAATTTTATAAATGAGGAAGCTAAGCTAGAGACGTTAAATAACTTGTCCATGGTCACACACTATAAGGGTAGATATCTGAATCCAAAACTCATGTGCTTAATGATTACACTATGTACATATGTATGTAGTGTGTGTGTGTATATTATATATGTACATATATAATACATATACACACACTGCATATTCCATAGTAAACTTCTCCGGTATGTTCAAACATTTGAAAAACTGGACTGAAACTAAGTGTACACTTATGAATAGGCTTGAAAGTGTGCTGCACTCTGCCATTAAATGCGGTGCAGGGCTGAACGAAGAGATGGAAAGACACCAGTCACAGAGTAATTACTGTGCGTATTTACAACTTATAAAAACAAAGATTTTAAGTATATTAGATCAAACGTCCCGAAATAGAAACTGGAAAATAATACAGATGCATATTATGGGTGGAATGTGCATACGGTTTCCAATTCAGACCCTTTTATATAGAAAGTCTCTTTGAATTCGTAGGAAGGAAGCTTATCTAAAGCCAGCTACCTTCCCTAATATTCAGTGTTTTATCTATAAGGTCAGAGGTGAGTTTCTGTTGTGTTCACAGTAGCTGTGTTCCTGGATGCTGTTGCGCCGCCAGGCGCGGGCACGCGTAACTGCACAGCCGCGCCCCGCCCGCGGGCAGGCGGCTGGCTCACCATCTGCCGCCGGGCCTCCTCGAAGGCGCGCCTCTCGTCCTCCAAGCGCCGCCGGGCCGCTGCCTCCGCTTCCTTCCTCCGGCTTTCCTGTCTCTGTCTCTCCAGCTCTTCAAAAGTTAGCTTCAGTTTCCCAGGACAAACGGCTTCCTTGGTGGCCTCGCCATCCAGTTCATCGTCCTAAGAACACATGAAAGGCCGCCCCTTAGTCGCCAGGGAGGTGCCGCCCCCCGAGCCGGCCACCCTCACTTGCCACTGAGAAGGCGAAGTTACCACGACCAGCGACAGGCACTGGGCTTCCTTGAGGGACGGCCGCTGTTGCTCACGTCCCGCGCCCTGCTCCTCTCCACCCGGGACCCTTTCCTTTTCTTCTCTTTCTTCTTCCAGGTCCTCGAAATCCTTTCTTATTTTTCCAGGTGTTTTGTGTGACTTGACAGGTACCACTGTGACAAGGAGTGAATCATCTCCTTCCTAATTTACAAAACAGAGAGTTAGCATGTTTCTTCCTAATCAGAATCTAGGTTTCATGGGACCCGACTTCCATCATTGGTGAATTTCATTACATTGCCATCAATGTTATGAAGAACAAATACATCTATATCTCTATATCGATGTCTACATATAAATATCGATATAGAGATATAAATATATTACAGGTTTTTATTAAATAGCTCTTTTTCCAAAGTCAGTGTACATTATGAGTTAATTGCATGCAAATCCACTGCTGACAAGGTTCAAGGATGATCTTCTTCCCTAGATGATGGTGTTAATACAGCTGTTCGGATAAAAGTGCATGACATCGTCTGAATTTAGCTGTCCATGCACTAATCCCACAGAAGGCAGTGTGCATGTGAGTGCACTCTAAATCAATTTGATGGTGGATGGATTCAGTTTAAGCACACACACAAAATTTCTCCATATGATTTTTTTCTCTCCATGCAAGTTTTTAAATAGTTAGCAAAACCAATATTTAGTGAAGGAAAAAAGCAGTATTTCCAAGTGACTTATAAAACATTTTTGTATTATAAACGAAACTCTTTGGTGTTTGATTTCATTGTAACATTCTTAAATTTGTTGTTTTTAATGTATTTTAATTCTATTACATAATGTTGCTTTCCATTTATGTGGCTGTAGTTTTAGGTACACCATCAAATTGACTGATTTTTAACTTTCTGTTAGATAAAAAGGGGTCCCTAAAATTTCTGTGACTGTTAAATTTTTCTTCATGGTAATAGATAACACTGCACTCTACTAACATGTGATAACCAAACTATCAAGAAGAGAGAACACAAATGATGAAAAGAAAACTGCCTTTTTATACCGTCAGCTTTCAACCATCTCAACTATTCCAAAAATATGCAGTCTTGCCAGAGTATCTCACACCGAGACTGATGTCTCTAACCGTGAAAGCAAAATATACTTTTCTTTAAACACACTAAGCTATAATGTTTGAAAGTGCAAAAATATGATCTTGCTTTGCAAAATATCTTTGTACTTTTTGTTGTTGTTGCTGTATTTATAATAAAAAGAATAAAAACTTAATTTTTAATTAAAAGATTACTTGTGAATCAGATAGTTTTAGGTGAATGTTTCATTAAAGGAAATGTCCATTTACCTCTGACGCTGATTCAGTTCCCGTATTGTTTATGTCCTCAATCTATTGAATGAGAATGTCATATCATTACATTACAAAGGATTTCTGGTTTTTGCTTTTAAACATACAATGGAAAATAATTTAGTTGTGACTTATGGTAAATTTTCAATTTATAATTTTTGAAATATTTTTATGTTGTTTCAAATTAGCCAACTATATCCCTTTAAGTGGAGATTAAACTTTATATTGGTTTTTGCATTTTGATATCAATATCAATATCTAGGGAACACTATGTTTAAGAAAAAATTAAAATAAAGCCTACCTTTGTCATTCTGGAATTTGGATAGTTGACCAAACTCTTATGACATGGCAGTGAGCTTACATAAGCAGTGATTATTAGTGAAATTATCCACTTAAACTGAGATACAGAAACATTTCTCATTCTCTGTCTCTGCCCCAGCAAAAGAAAACCTATCATTAGCAATCAAATAACCATGATGACTTTATTTTACAATAGAAATAGATGGCAAAAACATAACTGACACAATAGTGTGGTGAAAGGTGTCGGCTTCCACACAGAAAGGGAAAAGATTCTGGACATCGTAATTGTTTATATTTTGACCAAATCCAGGTAGGGAAGGCCCTCATTCCAAACATTACTCACAAGAAGCATCACTGTTAGCTTGAAGGGCAGGCTAAGGTACAAAACACACTGAGAAATGAGAGAAAACAGGTGATTCATGGAAGGCAATGTTTGAGATCTCAGGAAAAGGAAACATAAGCAATGTGAAAATGGGAAAAGTTAGAAAGTAAAAATTCAGATTGTTTATTGTTTTGATTTTTAGCACCAGTGAAAGAGCTTAGGAGTAGTGTGTTCCTCACGCAGCCTAAGGGAATTCTGTTGTGCCTTGGTTCATACTAGGAACATACTAGGGCTGGCTAAGTCCCTGTTCTCACACCATCCCACTTTTCTATATTCTCTGCCAAGGAAGAGATAACACATTTTATTAAGATACCACATTTCTTGAAAAATAAATTATTCTGAACAAATTGTTAAAAATAAATCTATTTTCTTTTTTAATAGTTTATTTTTAATAGTTTTGTCCAGAATGATGTGCTTTGTTACAGAATTATTTATCACACTGATTTGCCATGTAAGTGGTGAAGATTATATTGAATGATGTATTATACTAAGAAACAATTTAATGGATCTATAATGAAATAACTACAAAATTATTTCCCTTCAAAAGGATGTTAATAATTCCTCTACAAATCACATTAATCTCTCAATAAAAAGTTCTAGGAGATATGGTGAGAAGCCAGACATTGAGAGTATAGGGAAGAATTTCACTCAGACACTCTCCCAACTCAGGAATCCCTTTTATAGCATTTTTTTAAAAATTGATTGATTGATTTTAGAAAGAAAGGAAGGGGAAGAAAGAGAGAGAGGGAGAAACACTGATCTGTTGTCCCACTCATTTATGCACTCGTTGGTTGATTCTTGTATGTGCCCTGAACAGCATCAAAACCGCACCTTTGGCCTATGGAGACAGCGCCCTGACCAACTGAGCTGCCCGGTCAGGGCTGTACATGTACATTCTCGAATATGGACTTGTACAAGTGGATCTGTCAAACAAACATGAAGACTCCTCTTGACTACCTATGTCATATTTTACTTCTTATATTCAATGATAGATTAAATTGTATTAGATTTGAGCAGAAAATATACTTAATTAGGATTTTAAATTATTAGCAAGATAAAATTGCTATTGATAGTTTATTTTGTTCTACCTAAATATTCTCAAATAATTTAACAGGCCCAAAATTTCATTAACCAAGATTCTGTGGCACCCTGCAATGTAGGGTCAAGGGTTACTAAAGTGGTTCTTTTCCATGATTATATTTTATTTCCATCTATCTCTGAGTATCCTACGTGTTCATCATGTTCAAACTCACCTCTTCATCATAGACATAGTTTTTCTCTGAGAAAATATTGCCTACATATTCAGTGCCTGGGGTTGGGATGAGTCTTAAAGTCTAGTGAGTAATTAGTGCTTTCTTGAAAAAGGGCAGAAGACTTGAAAGAAGTAGACCAAGCCTGTGTGCATACTCACCATTTGCTGCCCAACATCATGTATTTTAATTATGCATTTCATCACCTTATTTTAAAATTTATAAATAAAATTACAAAGTTATGTATTTTATCTTTATAATTTATAATACTATTCAATATCATTGTCTTCCCTTGTGAGATTTCATTGCAAAAGACATACTAATCTTTGACGACTGGAGGTGGCAGAGGTAAAGTATGTAACCTCCTTTCCTCAGATAAAGAGGTAACACAGTCATAAAATAGAGGAATTTTCAATTATTGTTTATAATTCATCTGGCATATGTCATTATTTGCCACCATGCAAGTGGTTATTGGTGCCATAGAAGTGGTTATTTGCAAAGTCTGGGTAAATAAATTTCTTTGGCATGCAAGTATGGCATATGCTTTGCTTTCTTTGTCACTTTTCTTTTTAGAAAGGTAGCAGAAGCTGAGGGGAGCATAGCAAATAGATGTAAGGCACTTAAAGAATAGGAAAGGAAAAAAAAGCCAAGTACAATCTCACAATTAAAATAGTTTTTAAAGAAACAATATACTGTGAAGACTATGTTATAATATTTGTTAAAATATTGATGAGAGGATGAGAAACTAAAACAGCTCCATAACATTTTATCTATATCTATTATTATTTAGGTGAAACATTAAGCATTTATAGCCCACTTACTTTGTATCGGGCACTGTTCTAGGTGCTTTGCATTTATTAACTCACGTAATCTTATTTACAACTCTAGGATATAAATACCATTATTATCTCATAAAGCTCAGGACATTGATCATCTCTTTTGATCTTCCAATGTTGATCAAGCTGAAGCACATAAACAATATCTCTGTTGTCTGTCATCTGTTCAACTCTATGACTACAGATTATTTATAATACAAAACAAATATCAATATACTAAAGAAATTTTTGTGATCATTTAGTTCTTTATTTAAAATATAATTATGACTATTAGAACTGCAAGTTTTTATGTCATTATAATCATTAATATTTGAGAGATTAGCTTTTTCTGGAAATCATATCAGATTCTTCAGTATTTCAAAAATACTTACCAGCCTCTTAGTTCTCATGCTCTGAGCTAAAATATATGGGAATTTGAAGTTCATTAAGAGACTATATAAAATCACAGTAATAATACTTTAATTATAATTTCTCCTCTGTGGCTATAGGCATCAGTTATATAAAGGAAATGTATGTCCACATTTGCTCCCCTCTCCTATTATCATCCCCAACTTAAAAAAAATAATTAAACTAGCTAATAATATCATTACTAAATAAAATGTGATTTAATTAGTTTCAAATTCTTGCATAGAAAGATATACTAATTATGCCTTAGTCTTTGATAATAAGTATTTTTTTTTTTTTAATTTATTGATTTTTAGAGAGAAAGGGGAAGGGGGAAGAGGGAGGGGGAGAGAGAGAGAGAGAGAGAGAAACATCGGTTGGCTGCCTCCTGCACCCGCCCCCCACTGGGGACTGAGCCCCAGCCTGGGCTTGCGCCCTGACCAGGAATCGAACTGGCAACCTTTTGGTGCCCAGGATGATGCCCAACCAACTGAGCCACACTGGCCAGGGCTTAACCAAGTATATTTATTGACTGCTATGAAAAGACCGGGATTTTATTAAGTGCTTGTGGGTAGTTTACATGTGAAATCGCCTTACACCCTTCTGGAACCCTCTGACACGTCGAGAACAATAAGCAGTGCGGACAGTGCAGGGAATGCGGGTGGAACAGCACGATGGTGTGGAACAGAAGCGCCGCAGGCTTCAGCCTCAGAGAGGCACCTCTGCCCTCACCCTTCAAGGCATTTGATGTTCAACACTTGCGCTTCAGATCTGGTTTTCAGGGCAGCTGCTATTTAATAGGTCCGCGTTACATTAAAATATTTCAGTTAGGCCTGCGGGAGCGCCTACCTGCTGGGCGCGCCGGGCCAGCTCGCGCTGCAGCTTCCTCTTCTCCAGCAGGTCCTGCTGCAGCCTGCGCCTCCGCTCCTCCTCCGTGCGCTTCCTCTGCTCCTCCTGCCGCTGCTTCTCCATCTCCGCGAACCTGCCTTTCACAGTTCCTGAGAGCAGGGAAACGGGCTTGGCATCGGTCCTCTTTCTTTTCTACAGCTTCGGTGACACTGTGCCCTTGGAGCGCCTTACCTTTCAGCTTCGGGACGTAAGCCTTCTCCACCTTAGCAGACGCCTCCTCCTCCTCGTCAGGGGCCAGCAGGTCCTTCACCTAGATGGCCACATAAAGGACCCTGAGCATGTCACAAGTTCGGACCAAGCCACCTTATACACAGAGTCGCCAAGTACTTCTTAAATACAGGACATTATTCTAACTCTCGTTAATACGACACATGGTTAACGTGCATGATGAGATGTGAGTGAAGACGAAAGCGAGCATTTGCACAAGCACGAGATAAAATCATAAAATGACCTCCTGCTTTCTCCTGTTCCATTCTTTCTCTCTAATATACTGTTCTTTTCTTCTTTGCTTTTCGTCTCTAGAGCGCCTCTGATTTCTTTCTTCCCTGGCTCTCTGCATGGCTTCAAACTTATCCTTTACATCCCCTTTGCCAAGTTTTGGCACATAGGTTTTTGGGACAGGTTTAGATGAAGAAAGCAGAATCTTCGTTAGAAGAAAATAAAGAGGAGAGAGTAAAAAAAAAAAAAAGAAATTAGGTAAAGATAGATCAGGATAAGCAATACAAGAAATACTTGTTGAAACAGAAAATAGAAATGAATTTGAAACCTTTAGCTGAACCGTTAGAATCTGATTACTTTCTGAAGTCTAAGCATAAAAAGGGAAACTACAGGAACTATGAGAGTAGACATTTTATTAATAGATCGTACAAAAGTTCCATTTTGTAAGTGCATTCCACTGAAGCAGGGCTGGTAAAATATGAAAACTGAATACTGCACTCTCATTTAAACCAACCTGTATTAAGACATCAAGACTAATTTCAATAAATTAGATGAAGTCGAAAGTAAAGCAGAAGTTTAGGCTTTAAAGTTTAAAGCCCAATTCACACATGAATGTTCTTGCTTGTTTCCATATCTAACATGAGCAAACTGAAAGCCAGTCCTTTCTCATTTGTGGCTGGGATGTGCCAGGGTCTTTGTGCACAAGCAGTGACTTATATTTTTACTGCCCATCAAGAACTTCTCTAAACCAAAATTAAAAATGTGTGAGAGTCCAGCCAGCGTGGCCCAGTGATTGAGCATCGACCTAGGACCCAGGAGGTCACGGTTCGATTCCCAGTCAGGCCACAGGCCCAGGTTGCGGGCTGGATCCCCAGTCGGGGGCATGCAGGAGGCAGCTGATCAATGACTCTCATCACTGATGTCTCTCTCTCTTTCCCTCTCCCTTCCTCTCTCTGGAATCAATAAAGATATATTTAAAAAAGAAGAAAATGTGTGAGAAAGCTGTATCATTCCAAGTAGGATGAACTCTAAGAGGAAAATTCCCAAAAGCCAAAAGAGCTTCCCCAAGAAGGAGGAATCTGGTAAAAGGCTAGAGAAAAGATTTTCCTCCACTGTAACACCTGGAAGGCAAATTATTTTCCTCATTTTTGAAAATCAAGCTTATCTCTAGGAGAAGAGTCAGTAAACAAAGCTTCGGTGTCTCCCAACCCCAAGCCCTTTCTCCTAGTAATAATGGCAAATGGCTTAATTAATCTGTGCCTACCCAGCCTCTGTTTTATCCACTCATGGTGTCATTGGCCATTTAAGTCTTTTTTAAGTTTATAATTTTGGGGTGTCCCCAAATTTGGGGGTGAGCTCTTCTTACTACGAGTCTCCGTAACTGCAGCCAAGAACCAGGAAATGGCTAAGAGACGCTTAATCGCAGCTGCTGGACGATATGCTAAGAAGGATCCTCACCTGAGAGTGAATTGTCGCCATCTCCTAAGAGAGTGACCTCAGATCTGTTCTTTTAATACTGAAAAAATAACTTCTAAGACTTACGATGATATTAAAATTCTACTCAAGATGCTGCCCAACCCATCCGCTTTACTATCACTCACAAATTTAATAATCATGATTCCTAGATTAGACCCCGAGTAAAACTGCAGGACCCACGGCCAACCTCTACATTTCTTACGCTTTCTATCTTTGGCTATGTTATTATGAGCTTCTCAATGTGACCTTTCCACTTACAACTGCCCTTTCAGCAGTTCCACGGTCAGCCTTATGTCTCCCCCAGTGTTTTTTAACTCTTGAGTCTTACCTCAGCCTTTTGGGAAATATCATTCATGTTTGCTCTATGTGGTCTCGGAGTGATTTTGAAGCTTTGTATATTTTTTCACCTGAAAAAAATATATTAGTATTGAATAAGAATTTTTAATTATTTAACTTTAAAAACATGCTATGCATATGCATATATGCACAACCCAAGGACATGGACAATGGTGGGGAGAGGGACTGGGGAGGGGGAAGGGATGGGGTGGAACGGGTCATTGGGGAGAAAAAGGGACATCTGTAATATTTTAAACAAAAATAAAATTAATAAAAACAAAAACATGCTATGCATTTTTGTAAATACTAATCGCATGTTAATTGCTCCTTAAGCAATACTGACATTATCCAGGCAAGTACTAAATTGTGATAACCCTCAGTTTCTTTACCCAAGATTTAGGGTAGAGGAGTACAAGATGCACGGTATTGAAAGATCTTTGTAAGTGTATGACCCAAAATCGCTCGAGACGGTATCTAGTGCACTTGCAAAGAATTTGTATTCTGCAGTTATTAGGTGTATTATTCTATAAATATCAACCAGGTCAAGGTGGTTGATCATGTTATTTAAGTTTCTGTCTTCACTTTTTTTTTGCCTAGTTTTATCAGACTTTGACCATGTGGAATTGTCTCTTTCTTTTTTGAATTCTGTCATTTGTGTCTCATGTATTTTCCAACTCTTTTAAGTGCATATACATTATGATTGTAATATCTTCTGTTTGAATTGACCCTTTCTTTGGTAGGAAATTTCCCTCTTCTTACCTCATTGCCTTGAATTTGCCTTATATTAAAATAGCCACATCACCTTTCTTAAGTTTAGTTTGCATGGTATAAAATTTTCTAGCCATTTATTTTCAACCTATCTTTGTCTTTACATGTGAAGTACATCTTTTGGACACACCACATAATTGGACTTTGCTTTTTTTAAAAAAAAATCAATGCTGATAATATCTATTAATTGCAATGTTTAGCCTATTAACATTTAATGTAATTATTTATATGAATGGACTTAAGTCTACCATTTACTATTTATTTCTTATTTGCCCTCTTTTTTTGTCCCTGTATTACTCTTTTCGTATCAATTCCATTGATTTTGTTGTGTGTTTTTCTTAGATTCCATCAGATTTTCTATATAGATGATTATATCATCTGTGAACACTTTTTCCTTTGCAATCTGGATGTCTTTTATTTCTTTTTCTGGCCTGATTGTACTAGCCAGAACTTCCAGTACAGTGTTAGATAGAAGTAATGAGAGCAGACTTCTTTGCCTTGTTCCTGATCTCAGGAGAAAAATGTTCTCTCACCAATAAGTATGATTTTAGCTATAGATTTTTTTCTTAGATGCCCTGAATCAGATTAAGTTCCTTTCTATTCCTATCGTGCTGGAGTAATTTCAGGAACAAATATTGAATTTAATGCTTGTTCTGTGTCTATTAAGATAATCACTCAGCTTTTATTTTTTACTATGGTGAATTAATTTATTTGTTTTCCAATGTTAAATCAACTTTCCATTCCAAAGATAAATGTCATTTGATCACAATGCATTGTCCTATACATACTGACAGACTCAACTTGATAAAACTTTGTTAAGTTTTGCATCCATGCTTACAAGGGGTATTGGTCTGTAGTTTTATTTTCTTGTAATAGCTGCTTTTGTTAACAACATAATACTTCTCTCACTGAATGAGTTGGGAACTCTTTTCTCTCCTTTAAGTTTCTGTAAGAGTGCATGTAGAATTGGTATTATTTTTTCCCTTGAATGTTTGCAAGAACTTCCCAGTGAAGCTGTCTGGGGCTAAAGTTTTCTTTGTGGGAGGAGACAATATGCTGGCGGTGAGCGGGTCTTGATTCCATGTAACTATTAACGAGGTCCTAACCGTTGTAGTTGGATGGTCAGTGGGTGCCTATATATTACTAACAACAATTGCTAATAAAAGCAGTCCGTGCATGGATGAGAGTGTGTCACTAATCAAGATTTATGAGTAATCTAATTATATGTTCCCGAGATAAAAATAACAAATAGTTCTGTTCGATTACCTGAGCCATTCTATCATATTTAGAGTTAGCTATTAGATATTTTTTCTTGTATAACCAACAAAACCTACTCTTAATATTCAGTTTCTCAAACCTTAGAGTTATTTCCGGTTCATTTTTCTCTATCTCCTAAATTTTAATAGATTGTCAAGCTTTGCGAACGTTGCCTTCAGATTTGTTCTTATATGTCACTGCCCCTACTTCCACTGGCCCCACACTACTACAAGCCTTCACCTCGCATGCTCATTAGCACAATTTGATAATCAGACCCAAATCCAAATTCCAACGCTGTCGCTTCCTAGTTAGGATTAGACGCGATAACGTGTGTAAAGGCTCTAGAATAATACCTAACATTAGTAGGTGTCCATAATTTTGATTCATTTCATTACTCATGGTCTCCCTCACTACAATGTACCCTCTTCAGTAAAAACCTGCATTTTCCCGCAAGTGAGCCTACATTAACATATTATCTCTCATTTAAAAGAGTAATACCAAAGGGTATGAAGAAAATTTGAGCAATCTCATATGGGTTTTAGGGATTGATAATTTTAGCTGAATTAATTGACTAGAGTGAACTTCAAAAGGATTTTTTTCCCCTGGTAAAATGAAAGAAAATTGTGTGGCTTGGTGACAGTGACGAATTAGCCTGTCAAGAACAGTCGGGCGAATAAATGAATCAGTTGGCTCTCTTCAGCTAATTTTTTAAAAAATCTTCAAATTATATCATCTTGACTTATTTATAGAATCAGAATGAAAGAAGACTGATTCTTAAATTTTACTGAGTAAAACCACTTAGAATAGTTCTTTAAATGTCATTTCAGTATTCTGAGCTCTCGTTCTGAAAGTCTGTGAAAATTGGAACAGTACTGAACCTTAACTTTTTTGGTTAAAATATAAGAAAGTGATCCTTTGCTGACAGTTTGTTCGGTTCAACATTTTGAGGATTAAAAAGTTTTAGCAAAATAAGTCTATTACTTTTTGTATTATGGAATTGTTTTTGAAGGTATAGATTACAAACAAATAGGACTCATCTCTCTTAAATCATTTTATGTTGGAGGGAATAATTTCAAAATCAAGCAGCTACTTATAGGATTCCCTTATAAATAATTTTTAAAAGGTGTGGCTCTGCCTGGTAGACACAACAGTATATTTCAATTGTTAATTCAGTTGTCTTTCTGTACTAAAGCGAGGTTAAAGGTATAATAAACTCGACCACATTTGGTTTATTAACTTCACAAGAAAAAACTCTATTCCTCAGTCACTGATTGTATTGTCTGCTCTAAACCCACTGTCTCACTAACACACCCCTTGATCACACTATGAAGAAAAATAATGATGAAAATAATCCAAGCTAACATTAATTAAGCCTTTACTGTGTGCCAGGTACTGTGCCAAGTAGTTAACAAGCATTACTTTATCTACTCCCCACCATAACCCTTTAAGGAAATTCTATTATCAAACCCTGTCTCAAAAAAATAAAATAAAATAAATAAAATAAAAATTTTTAAAAATTCAAGCCTAGTAATTTAAAATTTCTTAGAGTATTAGTACAAAAATAATGTCTTAGAGTTTATCTAATAGGATGTGCAGTCTTCTATAAATTATTACAGCTGGGAAAACTGAGACTTAGAAAAAACAAGTGACTTGCCTAAGACCACACAACGAATGAGCCGTGGACATGGGATAAAAAAGGGCAGAGTCTGTCTGCAGAGTCCGCGTTCTTACCCACTGCATCATGCCGATGCCAAGAAAGCGGTACAACTGGTGTGCGTGGTGGGGATGGGGGCGTGGGAGGGAAATGTCAACCAGCTTATAAGGTTTTACCTACGGGTGTAATTGAGAGAACTTTTAATGCAATCATTTGAGAACCACAGTTCTGAGCAGTAGAAATGCGCTGGAAGCCGAAAGACAGGAGCAACAGTATTCTCTGTCTTTAGTGAATTTGTCATCTTTAGCTGGCAACCGGCAGTGGAGCATGGTGATGGGCAACTAAGAAAAAAGACATTTTGCCCCATGTAAGCAGCACAGAGTTTTTATTTAAGCTACTTTATTTCCTTTTAAATTGATACATGCCAGCAGTTATTCCCTTAGAATGACTTGGAGTTAAGCAGAACACAGATTTTCAAATGGTTCTCTGGTACGAAACGCAACGCTGCTATCTCAGGTGGCTGTGGTTTAGTCGTGGAGCGACCTCATCCACGCTTGGTCACCTGAGGGGCTGTCCTGGCCTCCGATTATTGACGTGCCTGTCAGCGACTTGCACGTAGCACTCCTGCTGCTGTCAATAAGGACAGGGAAGAATCCAGTCACGGTGTTCGCACATACGTCATTCTCTTGATTAAGAAAAACACTGATGAATCTCATCGTTCTGTTAAATTGTCAAAAGTACAGAAGGCTTCTGAATTTATGTAACAGAACATTATTGAACAGAACAGAACATGATTTAACACTGTTTCACATTCGGTACTCCTAGAGCAACCAGATTCACTTTTAGTTGTACAATGGCAGTGAGAATCTTAGTTTTATGAAGGTTTTTTAAAGTATTAACTGATTCCAACAAAGTCACAACATGGACCTGGAAACGTTCAAAAAGTAGCTGAACGTCGTACGTAAAGCAGTGAATCTCAGCCCTAAATCATAAATCCGTCGTGGGAGTCTTTGCGGGAGGGCGTCACAGACACCGACCTTTAGTCAAGGGATGGAGCCATATCCTCTCGAAACTGCCGCTGAAAATTCTCCGTCCCCTTCAGCCCT